GTCATTCAACCCTTTAGTTTCTCCATTGTCTGTCTCTGCAGCCCCTGACAATTCTCACTGGAAAGACTGCTTCCTGGAAGGGCCTTGCTGATGCTCACTCTCTCTGTGACTACTCAGCTAATCTCCACGCAGAGAATTGCTACTGTCCAGATCGCTGTGATTTGGGATTGGCAGAAACTGACTCAATGCAAATACCTCTTAAAAGAAGTGTAGGAAGGATTTTATATCCTTTGGTGGTCATAGCAGGGCAAACAAATAATTTCCCAGATTAATATAACTTTTCTCTTTTTTTTTTGAGACAAAGTTTCACTTTGTCACACTCAGTAGAGTACTGTGCCATCATAGCTCACAGCAACTTCAAACTCTTAGCCTCAAGCGATTCTCCTGCCTCAGCCTCCCGAGTAGCTGGGACTATAGGTGTCCACCAGAATACCCAGCTATTTTTACAGACAGAGTCTTGCTCTTGCTCAGACTGGTCTCGAACCCGTTAGATCAGGCAATCCACCTCGGCCTCTTAGAGTGCTGGGATTACAGATGTGAGCCACTGTACCAGCCCTTAATATAACTTTTCTTTAATTAAAAAAAAAAATCCTTCCTTATGCATTTATTTCAACTGGTGTTTTTACTGCAAATATCCCTGAGATGAATTATTTGCCCATTTTGAAATTTAAAGCCTTTTTTCTTTCCCTTCTTTTTTTTTAATCCCCTCCCTCCTCCTTCCCTCTCTTCCTTCCTTCCCTCCAAGCATTTATTTAGCACCTGCTTTGTTAGGCACTGAAGATGCACAAATGAGTGGAATGTGCTCTACACTGACCGGGCTCCTGGTCTAAGGGTAGAGAGACACACATTATACAATTTCAGAGACGTGCTAATACAGGCACACAAACATCTGCACATCCATTCACCATTGCTTAGGATATTTACAGCACAGAGTGTATTTTATCTGATTTTGGAAGGATGAGCTTAAAATTTCTTTAGATCAGGAATAGAGGAAAGCCATTTTGAGCAAAGGAACTGTATGAGCAAAAGCCCAGCCCAGTATGACCTAACTGTATGTCAGGAGAATCGTCCTAGCAGTTCAGTGAATGGAAAGGTTTTCTTGAGAACAGAAAGGTGATGGATGGAGATGACTGAATTTGCTGCTAGAGAAAATTCTTATGAGAAACAACCACCTTAACACACTTTGGTTCAAGATCTGAGCCATGTGTACAATGTGAGCAGAGAGCAAGCACACTTCCTACCATGTGGGTTTCAGGGTGACACAGTCAGAAGCAGAGGCTGGAGTGAAGAGGGGAGACCAAGAACACCATGACCTGACTGACTTGGCTGCCTCATTCATTTTTCATTCCTACCAAATTCTGAGGGGGTTAGGGATATGTGTGTGTGTCTCCAATTTAAGTCATCCTACTAATAAAAAGCATTTTCCAATCCCATTTTCTTTGGTTAAAGTGGAAATCAATTCAAAAAGCATCTTTATAAAAGAAAAAAAACAATTAACATATTTATTTTACCTTACATCCAAGGAAGAAAGACTTTGCATCAGCTGAGACTGACTCTTTCTGGGTCTTGAGTGCTCCAGGAGTGAGTCTTGTAGCTAACAGCAAATTTCCATTTCAGCCACCTAGATGGCCTAATTACCTGATGGAAATTATAGACGGTGATGCCAAGTGCTATTTGAACCTGTCATTTTCCTTTATCGTTTTAGGGCTATAGATACTTTCCACTCTAATGTGACAAAATATTCAATCAGCTTAAATTATGCATGCAGTCCCGATCAAGCCAGAGAGCTATCAAGAGCAATGCAATATATATTTTTTTGAATTTGGGTGACTGAACACCAACAAGATAAAAGTTTAGGGAGCTAGATACAATTTAACCTTGCAATATTGGGAAAAACAAGTAGAGAAGTGAGAAAACCTTTACTCCCTGGCCATGCCAATTGCTGAGCTCACTATAGGGCTTTCATTAGTGACATTCTGGGGACACTACACAGATGGTTTTAGTTTCCAGTGACCTCCTGGAGTTTCTGAGTCTTCAATTTTAAAAATAGATGTCAGGTAACCTGTTATAGTGTCACTTGCTTTGTGACTGTGACCATGTTGCCACTTTATGTCCCTGCAGTCATTTTTTCAGTGGAGGAAATTGTCAGGGTTCATTTGACTATATAGCAGCGGGCTCTGGCATATCTCGTTCCTTTGCACAGCATGGTTGATGAATTCTGAAGATTCAGGAAGCATTTGTGAAACATCTACTATGTCACAAGAAACAACTAGCGTCAGCATGAATGAAACTTAGTGGCTGCAGGGAAGCCCTTCCTAAACTGACATGGCTGAGTAGCACTGATGAGACAGAATGAAGTAAGGGTCACAGAGACGGCACAGGCAGAGGGCTTGTGTGGGACAGGGGGAGAGGAGAGTAACTAGGAGTCAAGGATCCACATGGAAGTTGGATTTAAACTGGAATTGATAAGGATGTGTTAGATTTCAACACATATAGGACAGCCAGGGGGTGGCTGGGGCTATGTTTCCAATAGAAGAAACCCCTTGATCAAAAGCATGGCACTGTACAAAATAACAAGAGTGCGGTGACAACAGTGAGTGTGGTGGGAGACCTGGATGTTTATGCTGTGAGGAGACAAGGTATTGAATGAGAGAAAGAGATCTGAGCATAACCCCACCAGATGAAGAGGGTCCAGCTACCTGTCACTGTCAGACACATGCAGAGACGGGGATTAGGTCACCTCAATTTTATTGTCAGCCACAGGTCACCTCAATTTTATTGTCAGAAGACCAGCTATTCTGGAAAACAGTGAGAGCAGGCTCTCAATTCTGCTCTGCCTCAGTGATGATTCTAATAGATTTAATTATGGGAATACAAGGAAACAAACCTAGAAAATTTTAACTATGTCTGATAGGAAGTAATATCAAAGTAGTCTTCACTCTGACAAAGCAAAATGTTTAAATAACAGAAAGATAATTTTCACTTTCACCAAATACGGTCTATTTTAAATTACACAGAAACTCTATGGACACCCTGTATATAAGAGACTCATTAAAGAAACCATCATATCGTCAAAGTAACCTTTACCAATATCTCAACACCTATTGCCTATGTGTGACTACTTCCTCAAATCTACAGGAGTAAACATCTCATGATCATGGAGAAACTTCAACTAGATAATCACAGAAGATGTATATGGGGGAAGGCTAAGCAGACTGGCTCAGCTGTACTGCATCAGCTTAGCTGTTCAGACTCCATCTTGCAGGCCACTTTTCTGGCTTCAACAGTGAGCTTTGAAAGGATTATGGAAAACTCTAGCAGGTAAGAGAGAGCCTACCAAGACTTCTGGTATAGTTCGTGTTTGCATACCTCCAGAATTTATATGTTGAAATTCTAACTTCCAGTATGGTAGTTATAGGAAGTAGGGTCTTTGGGAAGAATTTAGGAGAGGAGTGTGGGGCCCTCATGGGACTAGTGCCTTACAAGAAGAGACATGAATGCTTGCCCCTGTCTTCTCTCTGCTCTCTGTCACATGAAGACATAGTGAGAAGACAGCTATCTGCAAACCAGGAAGAGAGCTCTCAGCAGACACCAGATCTGCCAGCCCCTTGATTTTGAACTTTCCAGGCTTAGAAACTGTTAGAAAGAAATGTTTGTTGTTTAAATCAACCATATTGACATATTTTGAGATGGCTGTCAGAGGCAAACAGAAGTAACTCTGAAAAAACAGTCTTTTATGGGGAAATTTGCATCCATAGAGAATCTGATACAGCCAGGCTTTCTCTGAGGCCTTCCCTTATTCAGATCAAGAAAAAATTAACTGACAGTCTGATATTGTTAAAGGTTGGAAAGAAACATTCACTGTTCATTCTCTCTGAGGGCTACTTGTGAGGTTTCATCTACATGACAAGACTACCTCTGCTAGCCTGGCTTCCTCTTTTCTTCCTCCAGTAGAGTGTCTTGCCACTACAACCTGATCTACTACCATGACCAGGTTGGGGCCATGTTTTGAGTCCCATTCATTCTGTAACATCAAGATAGTACATAAGCTTCTGTCCCGCATTGGGAGGTTGGGATAATCACTCTGTGATTTTCCCTCCATGCACATTGATAAACTTTTGTGCCTTTCCTCCCATTAATCTGCCTTTTGTCACTGATTTTTTTTTTTAAATAGAACTTCACAGAAAAAAAGCAGAAGTTTTCCTTTGGCCATACATGTGTCATGGGAAGAATTTATGCTTATAGGGATCAATTTTTTCTAATTAATTTTTAACTCGTAAGCGCTGTGATAAAAGAATATGTCCTAAGATTCTTTAAAATTCATTAGGATTTCTGTGGTCTAACATAAGAGAATGAAAAGATAATCAAAATCTCAGAGCCATTCCTCCCCACCCCACACCCAGCTCCTTATTCAGAAGGTAAAGACCTAGCACTCTGGGAAGCCAAGGTGGGAGGATCATCAAGCTCAGGAGTTTGAGACCAGCCTGCGCAAGAGCCTACACACAAATATATATACACATCTGCCTCAGGCACCTGTGAAGAACTGGCCCCACACATCATTCATTGAGGAAATTCCTTAGTGATCTCCCATTAACAAGTCCATACAATTGTAGGTTTAAGTACGCAGGACAGTCTAGGTCCTAAAACTAAACTGTGTTTGATTCCACACTAATAATGAATTACAAGTTTGTCTTTACCGGTGCAGAATAGGAGATAAGACAAGATCAGAGATTTTTCCACCTACCCCAGGGACAGCCACATAATTTGGTGCTTCATTCACTCCCTTTTTTTCTAACATTTGTCTTTCCTGGGCCTCCAAAAGATGTAAGCATTTTGCTTCATAACTCCTCCCCCCTTTTTTGTTCTGTCTTTTCCTTGGTATGCCATTATATGCTAAATCTTCTAAATTCCTCTTCAGAATATGCGGCCACAACTCGGTTTAAGATTCCTGTTTTGGGAACTTTCCAGAACGCTCGGTGGGAGGCGGAGGAGTAGCGCACAGCTAAGCACTCCTTTTCGCTCCCCTGCATGGGCCTCTGCCCTCTCATTGGCTGTAGAAAATGGTGAAAGAAACTATTTGCTATGATGTTTTGGGAGTCAAACCCAAGGCCACTCACGAAGAATTGAAGAAGGCATATAGAAAACTGGCCTTGAAGTACCACCCTGATAAGAATCCAAATGAAGGTGAGAAGTTTAAACAGATTTCTCAAGCTTATGAAGTTCTCTCTGATGCGAAGAAAAGGGAATTATATGACAAAGGACGAGAACAGGCAATTAAAGAGGGTGGAGCAGGTGGTGGTTTTGGTTCCCCCATGGACATCTTTGATATGTTTTTTGGAGGAGGAAAAAGGATGCAGAGAGAAAGGAGAGGTAAAAATGTTGTACATCAGCTCTCAGTTACCTTAGAACATTTATATAATGGTGCTACAAGAAAACTGGCTCTGCACAAGAATGTGATTTGCGACAAATGTGAAGGCTGAGGTGGCAAAAAGGAAGCAGCGGAGTGCTGTCCCAATTGCTGAGGTACTGGAATGCAAATAAGAATGCATCAGATAGGACCTGGAATGGTTCAGCAAATTCAGTCTGTGTGCATGGAGTGCCAGAGCCATGGAGAACAGATCAGTCCTAAAGATAGATGTAAAAGCTGCAATGGAAGGAAGATAGTTCGAGAGAAGAAGATTCTGGAAGTCCATATTGACAAAGGCATGAAAGATGGCCAGAAGGAGACCAAGAACCAGGATTGGAGCCAGGAGATATTATCATTGTGTTAGATCAGAAGGACCATGCTGTTTTTACTCGATGAGGAGAAGACCTTTGCATGTGTATGGACATACAGCTGGTTGAAGCATTGCATGGCTTCCAAAAGCCAGTATCTACTCTCGACAACTGAACCATAGTCATCACCTCTCATCCAGGTCAGATTGTCAAGCATGGAGATATCAAGTGTGTGCTAAATGAAGGCATGCCAATTTATCGTAGACCATATGAAAAGGGTAGACTAATCGTAGACTAGTCTAATTCGTAGACTAATCATCGAATTTATGGTAAACTTTCCTGAAAATGGCTTTCTTTCTCCTGACAAACTCTCATTGCTGGAAAAACTTCTACCAGAGAGGAAGGAAGTAGAAAAGACTGATGAAATGGATCAAGTAGAACGGATGGACTTTGATCCAAATCAGGAAAGACGGTGCCATTACAATGGAGAAGCATATGAGGATGATGAACATCAGCCCAGAGGTGGTGTTTAGTGTTGAAACTCTCAATGGGGCCAGTGAATGACACTCATGCTGGCATTTTATGTGCAGTAACCAATGAGTGAGGGACTGTAACCATAATATGCTCACTACTTGCTATTGTTCCTGTTTTAATATTCAACTATAGTAGTATTTTAAAGGTTAAATGAAGAATAAATGCAAATAATAAAAGCTCTGACTTTGCCCCGTATGTATGACTTCAGTGTGCAAGATGAAATTTAATACCTGTTAAAAACTACTTTAAAAAAGAATTCCCCTAGCATTTGTTAGGCCAAACCTTGTAGTTGATTTCAGCTGTGTACATGAAGACACTTAGCATGAAATGCTAGGTGTATGCATTGGCTTCAGCGTATGACCCTTCATTGTTAAGCTATGAAATTAAAACTCTGAATTTAACGGGCAATAAGGATAAAGAAAACTTAATTTGTAGAGAAGTGTTGGTCTGTGTAGTTAATTTGTCCTGAGTGGGATTCATTGTGATGCCTCTGCATTTACTATTTTGCCTCAACTGTTACCATAATATGCTGCTTCTCGAGGGCATGCACTTACGGAACTGCATTCCCTCTGTGCCAGCCATATGTAATACATCCATATATACGTAACTTGACTAGACTTGTTAATTTTCCCTCCCTCTTCTCTTTGGACCATGATAAACCCCTGAGTAGTGACTTCCAGAAGTGGGTAATGTAGAAGTTAAAGTGAAGAGACCTTTATGTGGAGAAGTCATTTGCATGCATAATTTAGGAAGGTCTCCCTGAGGTATGTTACAGGCTTTCTTTAAATCATTTGACTTATGCTCCAAAGTAACTGTAATTTAATGTTGATAGTATAGCAAATGATGAATAGCTTTAATTGTATGTTTAAAAGTCTACATATGTTCACGTGCTTAAATCTAGGTATCAGATTTTAAACAGTTCTTGAAATATATGAATGTCTCCTTAATATACTGGTTACAAAGAAAAAAAAAGATTCCTGTTTTGCCAACGGGGCAACCTCAACTTTGGCTTCATAAACCTCTGTTGACCAAAGTTTTTGCCGCAGTGACTTGTTTGGGTTAACAAGGCCAATTACATAATTAATTCCTTCAATTTTGCATGGTCAAATCTTTATTTATGTTCTTTCTTTTATTACTTTAGGCATTTAAATTATGCCTATGTCATATTCCATCTCTGATAATTCTAACGTTTTTCATACCAGTGGATAACACTTGGTAGTTGGTTGTGTTTGCTGATTTTCACACAAAGGCTGACTGGTAGGTAGTGCTTTCTGTATGTGAGTTCATGTTCCTTGAGCATTCTGTGCCGAAATTCTTTGAGGCCTAGGTTTAAAGCGTGGTTCCCCAAAGAAGATTTATATTTTCTCCTTCCATCCATCAAGAGGCCTTGTCACCCCAGGTACATTTTAACTAATTTTTAGCTTGGTTTTTTTTGGACCACATGGACAGAGTAAAATCTTGCTCCCAACCCATTTGAACACTGCCAGGTTTAGAAATTACGAGAGGCAAGATTTTGTTTTCTCTATTGTTTTACCTGCTCCACCCAGAGTCAAAGACAAATCAAACTTGTCATCAATTATTTCCCTCTGCAACTGAAGACTCTTCTCCCTCAGGTGAGCACTGGTGTACGCTGATGTCTGTTGTTCCAGCCCCCACTCTGCTCAGGCTTGGACTTTGTTTTCAGTCAGAAGCCAGACCTTAGGCTGCCCATGATCAGAGGTCACACATGGGCAAGACTGTCTCCAGGGATTCCATACTCTCTTCTATATCCGACCCTTTTTTCTTTTTCAACAGTGCATCCGTGACCTGACAAAATATAAATATGTGATTTTTATATTTTAGGTGGGTTATATCATAAGAGGTTTTCCTAAACATCTATTTTTACCATCTTGCTGCTCGATCATGTCCTTAAAAGCTTGTTCTTCACCTTTTATTTCCCCTTCTGCAAACAAAATCACCATAAAGGAAAAACAGAACATTACGGTGTTCTTATTATTATATAGCTTTAATTAGCTTTCCATTTGTTGGCAGGAAATTATCTGCTTTACGGATGCTGTAAGACTGATGTTCTGTCCTAGGTTAACACTAGTTTTTCCATGTCCACTGACACATGTTTACCTTACAAGCTATTTTCTTGGGTTAACCTCAACGAGTGAGTCCATACTGTAACACTATGTACCGAAAAGGCGTTTGCTGTTTAAGATGCACAATAATGTCTTAAGGTAAATATTCAGCCCTCTTAATCCCAGTTCTAAATTCTTTGTCCCTACAACTTTGTCTTTGTTAATATCATTTTTCTATTTTCTGGAAGATTGCAACCACTAATTAGATTCTAGAAATGGAAAGTGAGAATAGAGCAGGAACCAACAAGCATTTATGGAATGACTTCTCTTAGCAAGAAATAATGTTTCGTGTTGTGAGCATCAGGGATGAGTAATAAATAGTCTCTGCTCTTATGTAACTTATAGACATAAGAGCCAGTGTTTGTCTAAATACCTCTCGAATCCATTTTTACTCACTTCTCAGTTCCCATAGGTGGGAAGATGAGAAGGGTGGATGTTGAATAGAAAATCAACAATGTCGACTACCAGGGAGCACAACTGGGATATCTGATAGGTTGCAGGGGACTCTGGAAAAAGCCAAATTGCAGTGAGGGATGATAGGCTGATGGAGTATTGAAAAATAACTGGTAAACAGAGTTTAGTGAAGAGGTTCAGTGGCAGGCCCCAAGGGGTGGGAATTTGATATCTGGGAAAAACCTTGCTATTCAAAATGTGCCCCCCCAACACATTTATTAGGATCTGCATGTTAACAAGATCCCTAGAGATTTACTAAGCCTATTAAAATTTGAGAAACTGTCATAGGGTGACATTCTATCCTTGTTTTCCCTGCACTGAGGAGCTCCGGAGTTGACAGGGTTTCAGTGTTAAACCCTAATCATCCTGGGCAAACTGGTACCTTGCTTATCCTAGAAGCACTGCTGTAAACCACCCCAAACAGTTTCCTCAGGACGTGCGTGCGCACGGTGACAGTGAACTACATGTGAATTCTGTTCCTGGGGACTCAAAGGCGACACAGGAAGGAAAATATATGTCTGGAAGGAAATCAAAATATGTAACCATAATATATGTATTTTTTGGCATTTTTGTTTGTTTTTTGAGATAGAATCTCACTCTGTGCTCAGACTAGAGTGCTGTGGCATCAGCCTAGCTCACAGCAACCTTAAATTCCTGGGCTTAAGTGATCCTCCTGCTTCAGCCTCCCCAGTAGCTGGAACTATAGGCACCTGCCACAATGCCTGGCTAATTTTTCTATTTTTAGTAGCAATGGGGAGTCTCCCTCTTGCTCAGACTGGTATCGAATTCCTGAGCTCCAGGGATCCTCCCACCTCAGTCTCCCAGAGTGATAGGATTACAGGTGTGAGCCACCCTGCCCAGGCCTTTTTTGACATTTTGAGATGACTGTTAAGAGGGCTTGCAGGAAGAAGTAGTCCTGCAAAGTTGTATTTTGGGGAGTGGATACAGGATTCTCTCACTCAGAACTAGAGAGAGACCCCCATTTCTAGGCATGGGTGAACTTGGAAACCAGTCTCATCACAGACCCCATCTCTAGGTACAAATAGGTCCATTCCAGTCCACATTCTCTGGACCCAAAACAAAGTAAAAAAAAAAAAAAAAAGCATCCTGACTGGTATTCTACCTGCAGTAGAGAGGAGTGTGCCTGGAGCAGAGGACTCCAGGACTGAATTCCTCTGCACTATGGCAGTTTTCAAATTAATTTCTGACCAAGACCCTGGCACCAAATGGTTGTGATATATACTAGATATACACCTCCCCCTAAACCCCTGCCTACGGGATAAGAAAGGCAGCATATAAACCGCTAAACGAGTGGTTCTCAACCTTCCTAAGGCCTCCTAATGCCATGAACTTTTAATACAGTTCCTCATGTTGTGGTGCCCCCCAACCATAAAATTATTTCCCTTGCTACTTTATAACTGTAATTTTGCTACTGTTACAAATCATAATGTAAATATCTAATATGCAGGATGTATTTGCACTCTTACAAAGGGGTTGCGACCCACAGGTTGAGAACCGCTGCCCTAGACAGAAGGTCCAGATGAGCCTCACACTTGGGTTCCTCCCTCATCACCTGCAGGACCAAGGACCTGGCAGAGAGAAGTGTCGCTACAGGGAGAGATATTCATATCAGTAGAGGAGCTAAAGTGGAGTCAACAACAGAAATAAACAGACTTTCTCTGATGACTCCCCGTACTCCTTGTCTGGATCTAGAGTCTGATACCTTTCAAGGTCTCAAGTAAACATTTATCATCTACTATTTTCATTAAGAGGGCTTATCTCTGAGGTTTCATTTACATAGTAAGACCACCTTTGCTAGCCAAGTTTTCTCTTTTCCCTGTCCCCTAACCTGTCTTTCCACCATAAGCTGTTTCTGGCCATGAACTAAGTCCCCATTCTTTCTGTAATCTCCAGGTGTATAAGCTTCCAAACCCCTCCGAAAGTGGGAGTTATCACTCTGTGGTTCTCTCCCCGTCTATATGCACATTAATAAATTTGTATGACTTTTCTCCAATTAATCTGCCTTTTCTGAGTTGATTTTTCAGCAAAACTTCAAATGGCAAAGGGGAAAGCAACTGCTGCTTTTATACATTTAAGGAAAACAGGCATTAGAGGTAATGAGAAGGGACACAAAGGAAGGGGCTTCAAGGGGGGTGGGTGGGAGGAAAACCTGAGAGAGGATCAATGACCAATAGGAAAGGGCAATACTGACTGGGGGTGCAGAGCGGCCAAGGAAACACTCGAAGCCAACTTCAAATGGGGAGGGTATTCATACCCTTGCAGGCCTTTGAGTCTGGGTCTCTCTTCCCTTCTGTCCTTCATGAGAGGGACCCACTTCCAACTCTCTTTGGAAGTGCTCTAACCTTCCTCTTTGCTCTTCCTAAATAAAATGTCCCTGTTACACTGAGACTTGGGCGGATTGCTTTTGCTCTCTGTTCACGCTGCCTGCGCAGCTCCAGTTTTATTTCCCGTTTCCATTCATTTTTGCTTTCAGTTACTGCCATGCCTCAGTTGAACTTTCCAGCTCAGCTGAGTGATTGAACCAGGTCAACTGCGTTTGGGGAATCAGGACCGCCCCCACCACCACCCCTCTAACAGGTAAAGTCAAAAATCAGTATGTGAAAGGCATATATTGGTTTGGACTGAAAAGGCAGAGCATCTTTAAGAAGGGGCTTGTAAGTTACAAGTGAGTTTAAAGATTCTTTAGCTAAAAATTGGCTGAAAGAGTTAGGCTTTGTCTGATAAACAAGGAGTCAGTGAAAAGGAATGCTTAACACAAGGGTCTGTTAATCAGAGATAAACTACAGGGCCTATGACCCTCCCCCCACACACACCAAAGTTGTTTATTATGTATATTGAGGACCTGCAGATAAGTCTGGCAGAGCCTTAGGCCTGTTAATATCTCAAAGAAGGCAGAGGAACATTAAGAGACATGTCTGGTCTTCTTTCTCATGTCTAGCAACTCAGTTTTGGGGGATCCCCTTGGCCGAGAGGGGTCCAGTCAGCCAGCCACTGGGAGGGGAGCCCTAAGATTTTATTTTAGTTCATAATTCCAAAGCTCCACTCTCCTGGAAGCTACAGCAAGCAGAACTCATGACCTGACCAGCAGCGTCAAGGTCAGAATTTCTTACCAGCCAAGGTGGGAGAATTGCTTGAGGCCAGGAGTTTAGCCATCAGTCTGAGCAAGACCTGTCTCTACAAAAAATAATTCCAGCCATTCAGGAGACTGAGGCAAGAGAATTGCTTGAGCCTAGAAGTTTGAGGTTGCAGTGAGCTATGCTGATGCTGTAGTGGGAATTTTGGGTCCTTGATCTAGGAGTTTGAAGAATGAAACCATGGACCACATGAATAAGAGGAAGCACAGAGTTTATTGAAAGATAAAGAAATAGATTTAAAAAAGAAAAAAGAGGAGGAAGAGAACATCTGGAAATGGAGGGAGGCCCAAGTGGACCTCCTTGTCTAGAGGTGGCTGACAGCAGCGGTTTATAATAATTATGTCTACAGAAGGATACTCATTTGCTTGCATTTTTAGATTTTAAAGGCATGTCTTTTAAAATGTCTTTATGACTAAGTATGCTGTAAAAGCCTTATGTGGCCCAGTCTAATAGCATTTTTTTCTCTTTTGGGGGACCCGGAATTCAATATAAAAGTAAAATCCTTGCTTTTTAAAAGTCAAAATATTTTGCCTTTCAACTGACCTACTTTTTACATATTTAAATTATTTAGCCCTACAAACTACATATACTTTACTGGCCCTGTTCTTTAATGGGCTCTTCCCTAAACCCAGTGGTCTAGTTAAAAAATAAACTGAATTATTGATAAAAGCTATCTAAATAAAATTGTCTCCTTATAAAATCCTATGGTAAATTCTTATAATTTTGTGTTATCTGAGCATCCATATTTAATCCTCTTAAACTCCTTTTAAAAACCCATATTTCTCTCTTTACTTTGACATGTAAATTTACTACTCTGTTTTCTCTAAAACTCAAGGAAGGCGTCAGTAACTTAACACAGATAAACTTCAACATTTTCCATTTAAAAATCCAGTTGTTTTAAATATAACTATCCTTTTAAACTAGTGAATTTTACTGGTCTCATGACTAAAATGTTAAAGT